GAATTCTCGTATGGTCTTGGCAGTTGCGTTAAGGACAGTAGTCACCGTGAGCTACATTTTTGTGCAAAAATCTCGTCAAATGCTCTGGTAAAGCCTTGACAAATTGACCGTTCACGCAACCAATATTTTTTGTCGTCGTTTTTGTAAAGTAATGGACTTTTGATCACTTTTTTGGGTTTAAGTTTATGGCTTGCTCATTTCCTTGCCATAAACATTTGCCACTCTGCAAAAAGTGGAATTACGGACCCAATTTCGTGAGCTAGTTGCAAAGTGGATCCGTTTGACGCGCAATTTCTGAGAGACCCACTCAATGAATCTGCTTGTGCTTTTGCATGTTGGACTTTAATGCAGTAGCAAGTGCTATGCTAAATTAGAGCTCATGACGTTGGCTGGAAGACGCTCTACGAATTACGTGACAGACAGACATTCAGACAGACACACACACAAAAACATGCAAACATTCTTAGCGCGTTATTATAGTAGGATGGTGTGATTTTGGTTGTGAAGTCGTTACGCAGCTCACGATCAATTTGATGTACTGAGACTGCTCAAGGCCATCGATGATAGCCTCAGTCTTAACCTAATTCAATGCCTACTTCAAGCCTTGTTAAGAAGTACTCGTGTGAAGAGTTTGTAGACGGTAGACAACAAGCAGATAGGGCAATAATTTCCGATGTCGCGGGGTCTCTCTTCTTGTACAGCAACACGATCGCTAGTCTTTCATTGAGTTGGAATCGTGCCCTCCGTCAGGCGTTAGGTACCGCGTGAAAAGCCTCGCTAGAGTTCTGATAAAAATTGGTGAGATATTCTTTCGGTTTGTTCCTGTCGGGCCCGGCTGCTGCACGGCTTTCCATTGACATGACAGCACGTCGAAATTCTGAAGGAAGAACTGATGGTGCAACATATCCGTCCTCCTCGAGATGGCATGGTGGTAGGTAGGCGTGACTCGCAAAGACATTTAAGTAGAATTTGTGGATGACTTTCTCCACCGACCGTAGGGAAAAGTTTGTGGTTCCATCAGGGCGGTGGAGTGCGGTCATTTTGGTTTTAAAATTGACGCTTTGGCGGGCGTTGCGTAAACTTCTTTTGGCCTCCGCTCAACCGGAACTTGTACTCTTCTCTCTCTGAGATCTTTTTTTATCACTTCTCTGCATTTCTTCGCAAGCTCAGACATAAGTTGGTAATTGCCTATGGCTCGTACTGGTCCACGTTGGCGTATTAGCTCTAAAGTGTCCGTTGGCAGACCCTTCTTGCCCTTCTTGCTACTTCTTGGGTTCTCAGCTTCCTTAGCCAATTGTGAGATGCTGGATAAACCTTTCGTATTTTTCGTCGATGTTATCGATCTCGTTATCTCACCAAAAGACAGGTCCCAGTTGATGATAGTCGTGGAACGTGTGATTTCTGAACAATCGCTCCCTCTCCATTACGCGAGGAGTAGAACTTGGCACCAAGGAGATGATGGTCCGATACCGTGCAGAAGTGGAAATAACAGCGACGTCCGTTAGGTAATATCTTCTGATGACGATGTTATGATCTCGTTATGGTAGTCTTTACCTGGCGATTACCAGGTCCAGCGTCGGGAAGGGGGCTTTTGGAACTGCGAGTTTTTATAGATGGTCCTCGTCGTCATGATGAACTCGGACAGTCTCTCCCCTTGCTCGTTACATTGTAGACCATGGGTCCCGACGCGATACTCTGCAAGCGGCCTTCCTGCTCCGATCTTTGCGTCGAAATCACCGACGATGACCTTGTAAAAGGGGTACTCTTCTTTGTAGAAATTACTTTTCCATGCCCATGTAAAAGACCTTGACTCCGTCTTCGTCGTGGCTTAATGTTGGGGGGTAGGCTATGGAGGCCGTCGAGACTGGGATTGATCGACTTCACAATATTTAACGTCCGATCATGGTTGTAAATTGTTCGAATAAATCTATGCTTACGCCCAAACTCGTATTGAAAATCCTCCTACACCACCGACCTTGATGTCGCATGTTCCTAAGAACAGTTCTTTTCCATTATCAAACGTGGCGTTCAGCGGGTAGTGTCTCCTTGTCTCGGTAGTCCGATGACGTCGATTTTCTTTGTTTGTATCAAGATTTGATAGATGCGTCCGATGCGAGCGTGCGTGCGTTGTAAGTACAAATCGTCATCATTGTCCGTCTCATTTTCTTCAGTCTGAATTGCCTATCAAACCTTTTCATTGCCGCTGCCTTACCAGTGACTCTTCCAAGATTAACACGTTTCGGACCGGTGCTGCACATGGTGCAGCACGCTGCTTCGAGGGATCTTTCTGGCGTTTGCAGGAGGTTTCCTTCTAGTCTAAAGTTGCTAAGTTAACGGTCTAACCTCCCGCTTTTCAAATGACTCTGTAGAGTTGCGCCGCCGATATTTGTTTACGAGATATGAGCACAAATCGAACAACGGTTGCAACGAAGTGCGGCGACGAGAACGACGCGTGCGACGTCGCAACTTTCCTTTGCTTCGATATCAAGAAACAAACCATAGTTTCAATATTGATGTGTGCCGTGTACAACATAGATACTTCTGAATACTATTAGAATCTGAGTTTTTGCTCCTATCTTTCAAAAAAGCACAAAGGTCCCTCTCAAGCGACAAAATTCAAACACTTCGAATTCACTCAGAACTTTGGATATGGAGCTTATCCGGCATGCTGATTACAAATGTGGCCCACAGGCTGCGAAATAAGGTTTCTTTGTAGGCTAACGGCAAAAAGTACACTCTTTTTCGCCGCGCGCGATTTTGCGATCGAAACATGTTAAAGGAGCTTTCCATTATATCATTGTGTTTGACGATTGAATTACTTGCAGGAGCAGCTTGTTTGGCTCAAATCTCCCGCGAGGGACGGTCAGAGCTTATTTGTTAGAGGCGGCTCCGAGCCCGCCTTTTCCACACCTACTCGGAAAATAGGTATGCAAGCTTTTGATGGAGGCAGGGAGTCCCCCGGCTCCGCTTGCTTATCAGAGCAGGCGTGGGGTTCTTTAGGTCGGCGATTAGCCCTTTTCGCCACCCTAGGACGCCCCACGTAGCTTCGCGATCGACCAGTTGGAATCTCTCTGAGAGGAAGATATGTGAGATTACTTTCTTATTCTGAATAAACAGTATCATGTTTAGTAGTGTTCTGTATGTCACGTCTTTTCGAAAAAAAAATTAGCTTTGAGTGGAGATTCAGCGTCTAAAGCTACTTCGGGCGGGGTTTAGGGGCATAATTTGAGTTTAGAGCTTAATTAGGACTACTAACATATTTCAGATGTGCAAAGTCCAAAGTTTCCGCGTGAGAAATTTCGGTAGGGTCCGGGACACGAGTCCGGTACCCGCCGCTAGATTCCAGACGGTACCGAATCCTCTCCCCCTTTTCTCCCCCCCCTTCTCGATGAATCCGAGCGAATTTGGAGTTACTCAATTGGCAGCGTGAAAATGTAATCATGCTCAGCGGCCCGACAAAACCTTCATTACAGTATTTTTCGTTAAAATATGCTTATTTTGATCAGAATTGCAGCTTTGGCGCGAAATTGTCAAACAGTTATTTTGAAAGCCTCGATTCAGAGTTTGGACGTGAGAACGCTAAGCCATCAAGACTAAAAGGCACCGTCCACCCAAAGCGAGGCATTGTCTCGTCTCACAAGGAAAGGATACTTGGTCGAAGAGGCGTTTCCACAGAAAATGTGCACTATCTTATAGAGCATGGAACGCTGATTTCGAATCTGCTTTTGTTATCTGCAAAGCGCTTCTGAGAGGGAGGTTACGGAAATCTTTAAACCAAAAATTTCGAGACGCAGCTATAATAAAATCTTTCAAAACCGTAGTTTGTGAGCTTGGAGGGGATCGTGGTTACTGCCACGATGCTTCAAGCAGTTAATATTTTTATTCTAACAAATTTGAGCTAATCGTTATTTCATCCAACTGCCGGAAGAAAATTTGCCTCAGAAAACTGTTACAATTTTCATCCCAGAAGCGCTTTGCATATGCCGAAAGCAGACTCGAAAACTTGCTCTATAAAACAATCATATCCTTTGGAAGCGCTACTTCCAACAAGTATCCTTCTTTTGTCAGAAGGAAGGTGCTGAAGCGTCGAAAAGATTTTGTGCGGGTGCTTATATGCGTAGTTGACGACTAGAAGATGTTGAGTGTGAATGAAGTTTCTTTGTCTTGGATAAGCTCAGCTCAGCTGCCTTCAGGATTTATTTTTTAACCTTAATACAAAACGACGATACTAAATGCTTAACCAAGACAAAGTGTGTAATAAGTAGTAGTAACTTATTTTTTAACCGAGCTCGCACTGGACGACGAAACACTTGATAGCGTGCTTTCGCTATCGCTAGATTTTCAGTTGCACAATACTTTGTTTAATAGTTCAGTGAGTGATTTTGAAAAAAGGGAAAAAATTTCCCTTTCAAATACCTAGGCATCCTTCTTCACTACACGAGCCAACCGCTCTTGCCAACTCAACTAGCACAGGAGTAAGCTGTCTTTTCCCATTCCTATCCCGCTTTGTGATTTCACAAAAAAAAGCAACGCACAATGCACAGTTGAGATTAAAGGGAGCTGTAACAACTTTCAAACTGCAGCAGGTCTCCTATAACCACTCACTCAACATAAAGAGCTTCTAAAAATCCCAATTTGTCATCTTCGTGCTACCTGACATGAATAGAATAAGAGATTAAAGTAGGCAGGAAAATGGGAAGTCGATGAATTGCGGAGTTGCGGTCACTGCTTTCGCAATGTGTGCAAGCAATACTTATGGTTTGCACACATTGCAAAGACTGTTGTGCTTTCAAACAGAGGGTGCTAAAAGGCAGTTTCTCGACAAAATGGCGTTTGCCAGCTTTTTGGTGTCGGGGGTGAACGTCAATAATTTGGTGCTCGTTTTTAGGAGTGAGTGCTTGAATTTGAAGGCGAAGTCTAAGCCTTAGTGTTTATGCGGTCTACTATTTAATAGCAATAAAATCCGATAAGGGTCCATTTGTCGAGTCACTGTTTTCAAGGAAAAATCAAGTTTGATGTTTCTAAAACCATGGTTAGCCAGTCCTTGCTCACGAAAGTTCATTCTGGACATTCTGGACTTGTGAGAACTCTCCTTTATTGGTTCGCTTTGATATTGCTCAATACATCTTTCGTCACATCACTGATTGAGGAAAGAAAATGTGGCTTTCGGCATCAGGTAAGTATCGTATTTCTCTTGCTAAGCTAACACCTTCGTATCAAGTTTATTTCTATCAAGTAATCGAGATCTTCCAGCAAATGTTGGCTGGTTTGTCGCCGTTGATTTTTTGGGCTGCAAGTTTATTCTGGGATGTTTTTCTGATAACATTAATGTCGAGTATCATGGTAGCGTTGATGTCGTTCTTTCAGCATTTGCCTGGATGGATGCTACTGTAGGTTTTTATACTCTGTCTGTAAACCGTGCTTCGTTTGCACAACGCAAACAATGTGTTTTGAGCTGCCAAAATTGGTACTTGACAACACTTGTTTTTATCTCAGTCTGATGTTTCGGCAACATCAGGCTGAGATAAAAAATAACACGTTTGATATGCTTTTCACAAAGGCATAATTTAAAACAATGTAGTTGGAAGATGATGAGAGAGAAGCAAAAGGACGCTTATTTGGAGGCCCTAAATGGCAGCATTCACCCCAGACTTTCACTTTCAGCTTTCATTAATATCGGGCCTTTTCATAGCCCTGATCTCATATATGCGGTGCAAACCATGGAAAAGCCCAAAGTTACCTCTATCTGAAGCCCTGTTCTGGCAGAATTAGACATGTAGTTTTGCGCTACTCACGTCGTATGCAACGGAAAACGTCGTCGTATGCAAGAGTGCCACATTACTTCGACTGTGCGTATCGACGTTGCCTGCCATGTCAGGATTGTCAAGGGAGGAGCGCCAAAAAAAGGGGCGGGGCACAGAGTATTATTCAATTTGCAGTCCAATTTCTCCTTATAGAGACAACTTAGGGGGCCAGACCAGTGCAGCTGGTTTTCTTCTGCGGCTTGCTCATCAATAAGTAGTACCCTGGGGGTGTCCAGATTCTGTATTGAAGCTGCCTTTGATGAACAATTCGAGCAGACTACAACACTGTTGATGGCAAAATTTTTGTTTTTCACGCTCTGAAGAAAGCGTTCTCAACAAAACGGCAGGTTTCATGTTTGTATTTCCTGAGCCCGTAATAATGCCCCCCAAAGTCGTCCACAGCACTAAATTGTTTCCTCACTTAAATGAAAGAAAAGCAACTGGCGCACAGCTAGTGGAAGGCAAAAAAAAAGACAGACAAAAGATTCAATGAAAACTGCATAAATTGCAAAAAATTATAAAATCAAGGCATGCAGAAAAACAACAAGAACAGACTGGCTGCAAAACGAACATCGAATACCTGAAAATGCATACTAATTAAAATCTACTTATCTTGTCTTGGTTCCGAAGTAAATAGCTTAATTACTCAAATACTTGAATGCCCCGGCTTCATGTGACGCGCAAGCTTTAGCACAGAAGTTTCCATTTCTCCCTGTCCCTCGCCTCAGACATTCACGATCTTCTTGGCTGACGTCGGTGGCTGCGTGTCATTTTTGTCCAATCCAAAAGGACCCTGACATCGTTCTTGCCACCACCCTGCGCCGTAGACGAGATCCGATGTACAGGGTTTTTTCTATATCTTCTTGCTACTGACTAAAGATTTGTCCCCCTACAAGAGCAGACTTACTAGGCCTACTCATGATTTCCACGGGACGATCGCTGACCTCGGGGTTGGAGCGGGGAGAACCGCCTGGCGACCAGAAACACACGGTGGATCTGGCCTGGCCGGCTCTTAGCTTGGCATCCGGCCGAAACCGGAAACGTCGAACTCCTTCACAGCTTGAGGAGTATACACTCGGCTGTGCATTCGCAGTTCGACACCCAGTGTCACCCCACGCCACGTTGAGGCGGCCGATTATTGTGGGGGAAGTAAACAACAGAAGAAATAGTCAGAAAAAATTAGCTGTGCTTCTCGCGACTGTGCGCTATCAACTGTTCACATTGATTGTACTTGACATGCAATTTGATTCTTTGCGTGCGTCTACGGAAGCTTGCGGACCACCACCCCGGAAGTACTCGACCGCTAATCGTGTGTCGTGCACCATCTCCGTGCGTCTCCAATCAAAACTCATTGGCCCGTAGTAAAGCTCGGTCATGGGAGATGACCTCCCCTTAGGCCCTCATATGAGGCTTTATCGGGTGAGATGAGGACTGCTCACTTTTCCGCGGTGTAACTATGCAAGGCCACCCTACAGGTGAGCTTCAGATGAAGCCCGGCAGGGAGATCAGCTCCCTGCCGAGTCATCGGAGATGAGCGACGACATAAGGTGAATATGTGCTAAAGAGGAGAGCACAGAGAAAACCTCCATAAGTTGCTCCCGAGTAACTTACGAAACATCGCAGCTGACGTTCTTTTGCGGTGCAAATCTCCAAAAACTGCACAATTTCGGGCGCCTAAGTGAGTGAGGATCGATGAACAGTTGATTGCGCGACGAATTTGGAAAAAAAGTTTTTGCATTTTTTTGCAGTTGTTGCTTGTTTTTGATAACGAATTGCTTCAGATAATAAGAAAGTAAATTTACCTTTCTACTCATAATTCTCCAAGCGTAATTTTTCTTTGTATGAATGGCAAAATATTGCGTATTTGTTCTATCTCGTTGTTTGTTAGGTGAGATCTCTGATAGCGGCTATCATCGATTTTTTCGACAGCGGCCGCTATCAAAGGTCGCCAGGCCAAGTAGCAAAAATGACGACGCTAGCCGCACTCGAACCACGGCTTGCCGCTTGAAACGCATTATTCTTATCCATTTGACTACTGATGCACAAATGGTAAAAGCGTTTCCACTTTGAAAACGCCAACATCCAGTAAGTGATCTGCATCAAATCAATCGCCCCCTAAGCAGTGTGGTGAGGTGCGATGAGATCACTTCCGGCCCACCTTAAGAAAGATGCCCTGAGGGGGGGTTACTGCGGGCCATTATTTTCCGACTGCACAACGGCACGCTGTACTGCCTTGTCGTGCCGGTCGTGTTGCCGCGGCTTTACGCCAGGCATATCCCTCCGTCACATTTTCCATCGCTCATCATGGAGCGGCAGCAAAGAGGCATGAGACGGGCATTTGCCGACCTCCGACGAGCCGTTACGACTCAAGAGGGTCTACAAGCCCTAGGGACATGTTGTCTTGTTTTTGTTCGAATTGAGTTATGACTTTGTAACGAAGGTATTCTAATCTTTCCCTCTCAATTGTTAAGTTTCTAACTTAATATGTTGGAGTAAGACAAATTTATTGTGATGCGAGCGAATGTTATTGAGGACATATTGTAACGATGTCAACTATCGAAACGTCGTTCCATCGTAAAACCTTCAGAAGCTCATAGAATTTCGTTGAAATATTGAATTATTTCTGACTGTGGCACCTTTGGCAAACTCCACTTACTCCTTTGCTTCTCACATAAACTTTTTCTGAACAAAAAAGAGCATGAAAGAGGCCGTAGATGAACGCAGCGACATCAAGAAACTTTGAGGCCCCGCCCCGTAAGGAAAACTCCACCCCTTAGTGGCAAGCTCCACCCGTTTTTCGAAATTGGAGGTATTCGCGTGGATTCCTGGAATTTGGGCAACTTTCGATATTTTTGGCCGAGTGGGCGGTGCTCGCCACAAGGGAACGGGGGCGGAGCTTGCACACTTCAATTTCATGCATATTCAGAGCATTACAATCGGAATTAGTTCTTACGCAATGGCAGAAGAAGGAGTGGCCTCAGCACAGAAGTTCCAGAAATCCTCGTCCCTCCCTCTTGACATCCACATGTCACAAGCTTCTTGTTGGTTATAGATGGCTGCTTCTATGAGTTATTAGTGCAAGACTCGTGCCTAGCTGATCTTCATCTTGCGCGAAGAGTGTGTCCCATATCGTTATGTTGACCTCAGATTTGATGTCCGTTCTTCTCACAAAGTGACCGATCCGTCAGTGTTTTGCCTTCGCAGTCTTTGGATCATGAAGACGCGGCGCTTCCGTATTGCGAAGTTTGAGATGGTGATTGGGTTTAGAAGTCCTGCAAAGGCTGCGCTCGAGTACTCTGTTGTGGGTCCGTAGAGCTTCGAATGATACTTGCTCTGCGAAAGGAAGCGTCAGCAGTTTGTGAAACTCGCGTCACATCGTCCGAGTTCGTCAAAAGTCCCAGGTAAACTGAGTCGTTTCAAGTTCTTTTTTCGTTTCGTCGCAAAACAGGTGAATAAAAATAGGCAAAAATCTTGAATACCAATCAACACGGCTTTTCCTTCCCTTAACAGCAGTTGTATTTATGAGCTGGTATTCTTGTGGTCATTGAGATAATCGCCGAAATTTCAATTTTCAACTTCGTCGAAATTTCCTATGGTATTTACCATGTACTACTTCAGCAACAATTTTTGAAATTTTCCTTGAAGCTTTCACAAAGTTATGATAGGAAGTAGATAGAGCAAGCAAAATGCAGCATAGTAAATTTTTTGGGCATCTTCAACTATCTTACAAATTTTTCATGACATTTTTTTCCAAAGCCATATTTGAGAAGTAGTGTCATAAAATGCTTATTAGAAGTTGCAAAAGTCCGTTATGATTCAGAATAAGCGTCAACCGCTTCCAAAATACGAATTTTAAAGTTTTCGGTACAGCCGTTAGAATGCTCTAATCGAAAATTTCGTTCACGAGATCCCGAGATTTCGGAAGAAAAAGGCCTGTCAAAAAGGGGATAAGAAGCTGGATTGAATTCACCCGAGTTCCTTGCCAGCTGATGTTGAGCCCAATCGAATGTGGAATATTAACATAAGAAAAATAATCCGAAAATTTTGGAAAGCTATTTGAAGATACCAAGAATTATTTTAGTATTGCACTTCATTTAATCTATCCATCTGTTAATGAAACTCAAAATTACATGAATTAACTAAATAAATGTCAAGCTTGGGCGTGATAAAAAATTATGGTTTCGAAACCTCGGAAGTTGTTCTAATAACCACATAAGAAAATAGGAAATATAACGGCTAAAAAGTGGAATAAAAACTGTGTTGAGTGGTCGTGGTCTCTGAAATACCCATCTTCGTTCTGTTTTTCAGATAGGTTGAAAAAAGAAGAAATTTTGGAACAACTTACTAAGTACTTAAAAACTTATTAGAACGGTTTCTCCGAAGTTCGATGACTCTAATTCTACCTCTGCGGCTTCGCATTACATAGACTACGTATTCTTTGAATCTCTGCAATCTAATTTTTTCACTACCTTTCCCTCCAGCGCCGTTTCTGCATCTTACCGTTTGAGAAGTGAGTGATTTCGTTTGAAAAACGAA